TGACTTACGATCACCGAAAAGTGACATTCATCAGCTGTTTTATGAGGTGGTGTGTTTTGATTAAAGAAAAGTATATATCGTCTTGTAGATCTGCAGTGAATCAGTTCCTGTTAGATACAAGTTTTTTCTAGAGGGCTTTGTACAACCTGCAGGAAAGTACAATTCATCAGAGTCCGCTCTGATCCGCTGCTCAGGGTGGAGATAAGAGAAAGAAAGGGAGATAGGTCTGAACCAAATCTCTGAAGCCTGAGCCCTAACATGGTCTTCTGTTAGTGGAAGGAAAACAGTTTTACCAGAAATGAGGATCTTTTGACCAGGTAGATAGAGTTCATGTACAAAAACCTCAATACAACATATCCTCATTTTCACAGAGGTGTAAATGGTTTAGCGTCATCATTAAACTAGGACATTACACATTTAGCTCTTCACAGCTGATCAGATGCATTGTAGAAGTGGTAAGGATAGTTTTTATTGCCTATCTTCATGTATTTAACAGTCTTTACATAAAAATGTGGCTTGCTTTCTGCCTGCTCAGAAAGGTAAGAGACTGTAAATGTTCAACGGCTGCTCTCTCTAGAGAAGTAGGGCTTCAGAAAGATGCTCTGTCTGAACAGAACTAGCAGATTTAGTGCAAATCAGAGGCAAAAAATGAAGGAACGCCACCATTTTACAATGTTTTTGGTGCTTTATCTTCTGTTCAGGATGCAGATAACACAGAACATGGCTGATGTTCTGCCACGACATTAGTCTTCTACATTTATAGCCGCAGAAACAATGGATACCAATGCACCTTAGGAAATATTGGTTGCATAATGCACTTGACCAAAATGGTTGTACTGTGGTTACTAATATTAATGTTTCCACTCGTCCTTGCAAGTACAAGCTGTGTGTCACCTTGTGCACTTGATTGCTAGAGTCTGCACTCATGAAGAGTCCCAAGACAAATGTCGTGTGGGTATATGTGTGACTTTGTGGGCTGCAGATATAAATAACAGGTGGAGTTTAGACTCTGTGGCCTAAAACTTGATGCTTTCACATATTGGCCCAGCTAAATCTTCATTCCTTGCCCTTAAAAGGCCAGATCCTGCCTCGGATAAGAACTTCCCCTGCCTCCCATTTCACGCCCAACCTCCTTCCAAACCTTCCCCACCTCCAAGTAAGTGTAACTGTGCCCTGGTTTGACTCCTGCCTCTTCTCCTGGACTCAGCCCTCACTTCTCACTATTTCACTTCCATTTTCTTCAATTCACACAGCATTAAGTTGGGGTCTGAAGGAAATTCCCACCCTGGCACAATGCATTAGAGTGTGAGGGATTGAACAAATGTGGGAAAGGTTGAACAAATGTGGGAAAGGTTAAACAAATGTGCTGAAATGAGTTTGCTGGAAGGAAGAGTTCAGGTTCTTCATTACTTTTTTGTTCTGTCTCACAAATGCCTATTTTGGATCCCTTTTATTTCCCATGCTTCCCAGCTGTATTGGGCAGTGAATGTTGGTTACAGTAATCTTGAAAATTCTTATAGGATCTCCTTATGACAGGCACCAGGAGCAAGAGAAGGACAGGGAGAAAACAAACTACTTTGCCCAGTGCGGGTGATGAGTTTACAGAGTCAAAAAGCCACCTGTTGATCTTTGACTCATTCAATAAAGAAGTCACGTCAAATACTAACCTGAAAAATTCCTGGTAAGTGATTAAGCCCTGAAACAATAGCGTATTTCTGCCTATTGACGCTGTCAGAAACCACAGGTACACTCACTGAAATTCTCCCTTTGATGCTTTGAGATCAGAAGTAATTTTGATCAAAAGCCAGAGGAATTACCCCAAACATATTCATGCTAAAGGACATTGTTTTGGTCTTTAGTTACTCTCAGAACCTTTGCATACTGTTTGAGATCTCAAAGACTTATGGCTAAATTAAAATAAATGCATTCCAAATGTATTTAATTACAAAATCACACTGATTTGGACAGAGAATACTTTCATGGAACTTGTCCCGATTTAAAACAGAACAAAACTCGGGTCATGCTGAGCAAACTCGGAGAGCGAATAGGTGTGGATTTGACTATTTTGCAGGTCTGCGTTGTGCAGAGATCACAGTTGATGACAACCTGCCAATACCGAAGGTCTCTAAATCTGTAAAAATAAATAGCTGATATTTTATCTGCAGGCAGCAGAATATTTAATCAAATTGCTTCTACAGAAGATTAGCATTTTTAGGCTCAGTGTTCACATTTCTGCTGTACAATATGCATGTAACTCTTTGTGTATATGATGGAACTCCTTTACATACATTTTCACATTGTTTGATTTTCAAAATCCTCTAGGGATCTTTTATGCCTCATTTGTTGGGTGCTAGCTTGAGATACCTTAAAAAGGAATTTGATTTTCAGAAAGAGCTATGCAAGAAAACAAAAAGAGTACTTTGCTTCCAAAATTTTGTCCTCTTTATGATTTATGAGTTGGATTCTTAAGAAATCACTAGTCACTCTTGCAAAACTAGACCATTCAAATGTAGTCTTTTACATGAATCTTGGAAAGTGAAGAACACTGGAAATTTTCAAAACCTCTAGACACAAATTACAACTGGACAATGTTTAGGAATTGGTTTTTTTCCACAGATGTGTGAGCTCTTTTGATTAGTGTTGATGTGAATGCTCATGAAGAGCAAGTGGAGTGCCCAAACACAGTTCTTTATCATTTCTGTTTCTGTATGTCCTTCACTGAACTAGTGCCCTTCAGTGTCCAGAGGGACATACAGTCCCTGCCCAAAGTGGTGTCCTGAATTATTTTGAATTGTATCTTCCCCATTTGCTTGTAGATGGTTATCAGTCATCAAGAAAAGAGTAATTCATGTCACTCATGCAATAAATAGATTTAGCAAGAATGTTGGCTATTAGTCATGCTGATTATTAGCTGTGTTGGTTTTCAGAAAGGTCACATGCAAGATTTTCGCAAACTCACAACATCTGACTGCACAAATATATATGGCCCAGGCTTTCTGAAGGAGTTTGACTTCTCGCTTCACCTATAGCTCTGAATATGTCCATTTAATTTGATTCCTAAATAGCTGTTTGAAAGCCAAAAATGCTCAAACTGAATGTTTCTGGCTAAAAACTGAATAATGCTTGGCTTTTGGATGTTATGTTGATTTTATTGCCTCTGAGTTTGGGCAATTTTCAGCCTGAAACATTTTTTTCTTGGAAGGCGGAAATGTTTTCAGCTGAAAATGTCAGCCAGCCCTCCTCCCCCCAATACTCTGACCAGCCCTGCAAGGAACCTTGGTGATGTTGTCCCCATGACTCAGAAAAGCACTTTGCAATTATATAAACAGGTGCTATTATTATTCTTGCTATGTGGTAAGCCATGAGTGCATTGCAGTGCTAGCAAAGTGTACTGCAACCCGCCAGACAGTGTGGAGGGCACCTTGACTACTATTTGTGTGTTGGTCTTTGTGGGTCCCAACAGTCACGTAGTTCACGAGGCTAAAATGAAGGGCATTGTGCAAGGGCTGTGGGGATTGAAAAATACCAAAGCTTCAGTGCATTAGTTGCTAATCAAAGTGAAACTATTATGCCCTTCTTTACCATTTTAGGGTAATCCTGTAGAGGTGATGGCTTATCAGGCTCAGTGCTGGCTGCTCCCTCTGGCCCAGCTTTCTGTTAGGTGGGACCTAGGTCCTGAGCAGTCAGAAGCATTTCTGAGTGGGATCCTTTCTCTGCTCCTTCCCTATCCATCCCATAGAGCTGTCATAACAAGCTGTCTCTTCTTGACTTTACAAAGTAGTTTCCCAAAACTTAAGTTAGGCTCACAAGATGTGATTCCTCTCACCAGACCTAAGATGCCTGCAAGGTCTAAATCAGAATTAGCCACTCTGGGCTTTCTTACAGTCAATAGACAACAGTCCAGGGAGCTCAGATGATCAGATGTAAGTGACTACTTTAGAGTAAGATATATGTCATACTGAGCTCCCTCACTAGGTCTCTGTGAAGTATAGGGGGTGTCTGAGGTGACCACATGCAGGTGCCTACTTCTAGACACTCACACAAGATCAGCACAATCCCTCCCAGTCTGCCCAGAGGCAAGAGGGCTGATGTGGTTTTCCTGGAAGATCGCCATGTTACAGGAAGCTTGTAGCTTAGATGGGGATGTCTGGAGTGTGATCTCTTATTAACTTAATTCACAACTTAGACTGTATCATTGGTCTTCTCTGCTAGCTTCTTCCCATAGTCTGGAATGTACCATGGTCCTTGTCTTCAGATGGCCACTTCTGTGCCAACACTTGGTGCCATACTGCTGTTCAGCACCTGCCGTGCAAGTACTTGCAAGCTCCTAGATGGCACTTTCATAGGGGTCATCCACATTTGCTTACAGGCCTTTCAAAATCACAAACTTCACCAAATCCAATTTTCCAGGGTGGGACCAGCAGTTTTAGGCACAAATAGGGACTGACTAGAGGCAGTACGTTTGTAATCCTGCTTCAGCTGCTAACTAAGGTGACTGAGGTAAATCAGTTCTTCTCCCTGTGCCTCCTTATCTGTAAAACTGGGGCAATGAGACTTATTTCCTTTGTAAGGCAGTTTGAGATCAGTGGGAGATAAGTAGTATGTGAGAGCAATTTTTATTATCCTGGTTGAAGTTAGTTAGGCAAAGTGTTTGCGATTGTTCACTGAGTTGGCAAAATACGTCCTTTTTAACTCTGCTCAGTCATACACATTTTTGGTGCCCCTTGATGAACTTTACAGAGACCGGTGAGGTGCGAGTGCATTGATGTGCTGACAGTATTTTGAAAACGTGGCTCCAAAATGACAGAAATAGCTGAGGGAAGCTGTCCTCCGGTTACGTGTGCGTACAATGCTGTACTCAGTGTTCCCGGTGTGACTGCAACAGAGATAAAACAATCACACAGCTATATTAATTTATTTGCTGGTATTAATTAATAGCGCCCTTAGTGGTAACAGTTTTATGTTCTAATTCTGGCAGAACCCCGGCTGTATTCACAACCATGGAAAACTTCATGGCGCCGCTGAGCACCGTCAGTGAGCTTGCGCTTCAGCAGAGCAAGGCTAAGCTCCTCCACGGCAAGGTGAGCGGTCCCTCCCGGCGCAAGCGGGAGTTCATGCCGGATGAGAAGAAGGACAACATGTACTGGGAGAAGAGGCGCAAGAACAACGAGGCGGCCAAGCGCTCACGGGAGAAGAGGCGCCTCAATGACTTTGCCATGGAGAGCCAGTTGGCTGCTCTCAGTGAGGAGAACGCCGTCCTCAGGACAGAGCTGCTCTCCCTGAAGCTGCGGTTTGGGCTCATCAGCCCAGACACCAGTACCTACCAGGGCCACTCCCTCCAGGACTTCCTGGGAGGTTATTTCAGAGGGCAAAGGGCGGCCTCCCCACTCCTTGAGGTTGAGCCCTTTGCTGGGGAGTCCTGCTTCTTCACAACGAAGAGCTTTGTGCCGAAAGTGCTGGAGCCAGCTGACTTTTCCTGCAAAACCTTTGGCCCATCCAGAAACATCCTCGGCTGTGACTCAAAGCCAGCTCCCATGGACACAACTGGCCTTCAGCAGCCAAAGAGGCTTGATGCAGCCTTCAGATCCACAGTTTGCTCTCCGTTCCTCAATTATCACTACCCAGACAAATATGCTTTCCATTTGCCTTTGTCAGGCAGTCCCTGCTTCTTGTGCCCTTCCCCCTGGTCAGCTGAGGTGAGCAAAGAAAGCACCACAACTGTCTCAGATGAAGATGATGAGCAACAAGTGCCCAAAACTTCTCCTCTTCCCCCATGCAGCCTGCCCTGCCCTTCAGAAGATCATTCGAAGGGCCGAAGCTATGCTGCCCTACCTCACAAGCTCCGGATTAAGACCAAAGCCCTCAGCAGCTTGGAGGAGAGCAGCCTGGACTCCCACTGAGGCCCCACTGTGGGGCCAATGCAAGACCTTCCAAAGACATGAAGGGTTTGGAAGGAGGGGGTGGGGGAAATGTCTTATGCTTCAAAGAGGGAAGTCATTGTCTCTGCTTTGCATAAATGATAAGGGAGTTTATAAGGCTGGGCTGCATCACTGCAGCACAACTACAGCTGGCCTTGACGTTCATCTTGCTGGGTGAGACCTGCCAGACCCCGCGGCCACAGTGTGAGTAAGTCTAAGTGTCACCTGGCTGCTCTGCTCACAACCCAAGCTAAAATTTGAGGTGTGAAAGGACCAGAGGCAGGAAGAGGCTAAGACAGTGGACATGGTCTCCATACCATGTAACACAACTACAGCTGCTGGGGGTGGCAACCATTTTAATTACTTTTGCTTCATCATTGCCTTCATCCTCATGAATGTGCCTGAAGTCTTAATCATTTGACATGGGAAACTGTTGATGGAAACAGTTTCAGACCCCCCAGCTGTCTGGAGCGAGAAAAAGGGATAGTGATGAAAAGGTGGTGGATTTACACTGGCATGAAATGAGAGCAGAATCTAGTCCATTTTATTCCCAATTTATCATAATTTATCTTCAGAGAGAATGAACTCTTTTTCTCTTTGACCAGACACAGTGTGGTCCAGAGGATAGTTTCATTTATATTTGCAACGATTATTTTGGAGGACTAAATATTTGGGTTTTTACTGAAATGCAAAGCATATTTTAGTTTTACTTCCTTCTTTTTAAATAAGGCATTTTCAGAAATCGTATTTCTGTATTTGGAAATTGCCTTTATAAAACATTCTCTCACCTTTAGCTGAGTTGGTTGAACCATTTCCTTTTTTGGAAATGAATTGCTTATAAAATAAAAAAATAAGCAAAAAGACAATTTATGCCAAAATTGTTAATTAACTGCGTAAAAAGCATTTCAACATTTTAGATTTTTTATATGATTTTAAAATTATTTTACCAGCTTTAACTGCAAGTAAGCAACTCTGTTAACATCCAGCTGCTTATATTAATCAAGGTAAATCTCGACTGGCCCAATGCTGGACTCACATTGGATGTACTCATCGATTGTTCCTATTTACCAAACTGCAAGCTGGAGAGACTGAACTGGAGACCTAGCACTGAAGGTTTCTCTTGAGTTTCAGTGCCTGGCGTATTTGCAGCACTCAGAAATAATAGAGGAATATAATACTTATAACTGTAGCCTTTTGGGTCCCTGCTGTCACAGAGTGTGCAGCACCGCTGGATGAACTGCAGATTCGGAACAGAATGGCGTGGACTTTGCAAAAACAGTAGAGACCACATTGCTCCTTCAGAGATCTCCTGGACATGGAGGCACTGATTTCCATCCTCTGTGAAGGAGGGAGGAGACTTAGAAGCGTACGGTGCCCAGGGCAGGGAGAGAGTTGAACCAACATGTTCTGCAGGTGGGTCCCCTTTACAGATATAACGCTACCAGCTTGCTCCTCTTCTGAGGCTTCACCCGTGTCAGCTGGACTGCGGGAAATGCTCCCTCACAACTGAATTTGTACAGTGAGATGTGTTGGGAAGCTTCAGCAAAGCATCGTTGTTGGAAACCTGCTCTCAGGCTGGGCAAGCTGTTACTTGGTTCTCACGTGGTGCTTCTGCTCCATCCCCAAACATTCAAGGAATGTCCGTGCTAAGACATCTCTAGCACCATCTCCACATCAGTTTTAGCTATTCCTGGTGACAGGGGTTTCCATCCTGTGTCTCAGGAGACAGCTCTTTTCCAGATCTCCAGACTTTGTTTGATTTTATCTAATACATTTGGGTTCAGCCCGTCTCCCCTTTTAAAGCATTTTGCTCCCTTTTACCTATGCACACGCTGCACATAGTGTATGTATTCCTTGGGGTATCTGCTGGGATATTTTCCCTGTCCATCCTGCCTTCCGACTTCACTACTATGGCAGTGAGTGCTGAGTAGGTGCAGTACAGCTGGAGAACTTTAACCCAGCCGACCACGTAGCTCAGGGCTTAGTGCAAGGCAGGAGGCATCTTGAGCTATAGCTACGTTGAGCTGAAAGCCAGCTGAGCCTCCATGAGCAGTAGCCTCATGAAGGTCTCTAAAGCCTACTTTATGCTGTTCTTCAGCCACCTCAGTTTACAAGCCAAAGATAGTTCTCAGAGATGTATTCCAGGTATCTTGTCCTCAGTTCTCCTTTCATGTTTTGTCTTTTTTTCCTAATGAAAGGAGGCTAATGCAGTTCTGATATTTCTGGGTCTGTCTGTCAGCCCTAAACTTTTTTTGACATGTTGGACAGATACAGCCCAATCTGATGGAAAAAGACAGATCTCAAAGAGAATAAACAACCTCAGATTGTTCTCCTCTGCCCCAACCATACATTTTCATCTACCATGCCCCTACTGACAGAAAAACTGCATCACCTGCTCAGCCCTACTGGAAACCAGAGATGACAGTGGGAGCTCAGATCCTAGCTCAGATCCCTGGGAGTCTCCGCTTCGCCAGTTCTGCTGCTCACAGGATCACCCTGTTGCTTTTCATGTTACGCTGTTCTCACTAAAATTTCAGGCTCTGGAGAATAAGGACAGTTGTCAAGAGTATTTTTCTAGAAATCATTTTATAGCTAATAAAGAAATGCACCAATAATAAGACTGTGTAAAAGGACAAACCACACTACCTGATATGGGATGTAATAATCCCTCAAACCGGTTTGGAAAAGAGGGCCCTTAATGTGAGCTGTACATAGGGTCATCTGAACTGCGGAGGTATATCAACATGTTGTGCCCAATAAAACTCTGTCTCCAGAAGCTGTGAA